CCTGCACGGTATAGCTCATGGCTTCACTGAGTTACGCAAGCCCCTTCGCCACAACAAGGCAATGATCCATGAAGGGGGGGACAACCTATAACCAGTCCCCAAACTCTTCCTTACATCCCATGGAAATTTCAGAACTGTCAGCTCCCTCAGCATGATTTTCTGTCATGTTTTAAAACCAAAGGAAAGAAGAAACGTGGGTACACCTTCAGATAGGCTAACAACAGTTAACCATGGCAGAACCATGCCCTGGCAACCTCTTTTTCCTATGTCCTCGTCTTCATCTGATTCCTACCCCATACCTGAGGGACCATTAAGTTGTCCTTAGGTCTATCAGCACTAGCGTTTTTTTCCTTATCACATGGATATAATCTGATCCACTTCATCAGCCTCCTGTTGATTGCCCCAGCACCTATTGAGCCACTTCAGGTGAGCGCAGGCACATTCTTCCCCTTTGGTTATCTTCCATACCTCTTCTATCTTGAAAACAGCCCCTTCCCTGAACATGCTGGTTCTCTCAGCTGATGTCCAGAGCACCTGACCAATGGAAGTGATGGTGGGGCTTCCTGGTGAAGCATGAGAGTGCTTTCTCTCTGTCCCTTCATGACACAGCTCTGTCACATCTGTCAGCTGTTGTTTGGGCTACTTTTGAACGTAGATGTTATGCTGTCCCGGAATAGCTGGAATATCAACTGATATTTAGGCTCTCTTTGACTGTACTTGCAGACTGGGGAAAAACAAATCCGGGGTGGGGGTGTGGGAATCCACCAGCCTCACTCCTTTACATCGCTTGTACGCATTAATAACTCTACCACTATTTGTAGGAATTCTGCCTGTGGCAAAATGGGGATTGCCAAGCAAATTTTATACCAGTATAATTTTCTGCCAGTTCAAGGACAAAGCCACTTCAAGGTGTCATGAGACTTTATTGTGACACTAAGGAAGGGCTCCAAAGGGTCACTGGAATCCACTGACTGGCCAAGGTTTTCCACAGCTGCTCTGAATACTAGATTTATTTCCCGTCTCCATTTCAGTTCCCTGCAAGGTACTGATTGCATAATCACACGCTGGCTTTTTTCTTGCTAGCACAGATTTAATCTCATTTCTTGGAACAGCGGGAAAGCTGCAGCCGCAGGTAAATCAGTAGGGCCGTCGCTGTGGCAGCAGCAGCAGCAGATAAACCAAACCGCAGGCGGCGGCCCCCTAAGAGTGCATGGGAAGGCGCACATGCGCATTACTCAGCTCAGCCAGCTGGACAGGAATTTCTGGCCCTTCCCATCACCGGCACCGGACAGGTACAAAACACCACCTGAAGGCAACGCAGACAGAGCCGCTCCCCCCACACCCAGTTCTTTTTCCTTTCTTTCTTTTGGTTCCCGCCTCTTATTTTTCATTGGTTTGCCCAGCTGCTCAGAGGAAGTGTGTGAGATGTGCGCTAGGGAGGAAAAAGTTTTGTTTGTAAGTTTTGCAAGGAAGAGGAGGAGGATTGAAGGAACGCGGACGTCTTCTTAGTCGACTTTCTGTCCTCCGTGCCGTGCGTGCGGCTCGGCTGGGAGCTCCTCGCACGCTCTTTATGCCGGCCCCTCCTGCAGAAAGGCGCGAGCTTCTTCGCCCCCCGAGCGAACGCGGAGCGGGGCCAGCTTCCCGAGGATCGTTCGCTCCTTGCCCAGTCGGCGGGTGAGCGCGCGGCAGCCGCGGCCAGCAACCACCGTAAAAAGAGCCTCTTTTTGCTCCACCTTCTCCTCCTTCTCC